TTTATTTATTTATATATATATATCTATATATATGTGTGTGTGTGAGTGTGTGTGTGCTTGTGTGTGTGTGTATATGTACGCAAATGTTTATGTTGCTAGTTGAAAGAAATTGCCATACATGAGGATGTATACCAACACAACAATGCATGCAAATGTGATGTGATATAGCCTGGACTTTGACTTTATTGTTTCCTTAATCAGTTTGCATCTAATATTTCTTTGTTGAGAGTGTATATTGTATCCCTTCATTAATTTATCGCGTATTGTGATTTACGTTCATTATGTTCTAAGTTTAGTCGGCTCAGAATTTGTCGTCCACCACCGATGTGATTAGCTGCCAGACCTCTTCATTCATTCCATAAGTGAAGTCGATATGCCCGGCGTCGACCCTGCAATAACAAAAGCATACCAATTTCGTTGATGCGATTAGACAGGTAGTTTTGTAGGATCCGCAAGGTTTCGCAAGAAGAAATGCTAAATAATTGATCGCATACCTAGTGTTGATGGTTGACGCGAACCACACAGAACGAGTGAGACCTGATACAAGTATCATCTGGGCGTATAACGCAGACAGTAGGTGCACTCTGACCAATATTCTGTAGAAATGAATGACAACATATACACCGAGTAACCTAAAACAGTACAGTGAAAAGCTACACGGCACTTACGCCTTAAGATGAGCCAGTTCCGGGTGAAAGCGCTTGAGCGCATAGTATTGCCACGCCACATTCTCTGGGTAGATTAAATTGTCGCCCAGACCAATTACAAAGAATGTCGGCACGTCGATGGCATCGAAGTTCTCCATGAAATCGACAGGCTCCTCTGTTCCGTACTCTTCTAGGTTGCCCTCCAGTCCATAGTCGAAACCCTGATACAATAGGATACCACGAAATAAATGACAGTTAGAAAATCATTAGGGACTTGCGTCGTACGATTTGAAACTATCTATCAGTATCCAGAAAATAGACATGTGCCGTCAATATCCTCATGCATAAGAAGCGGCCACGCTGAGATATTAAATGAAGTGACAATGGAATCGTTCACCGAGGTATAAAATAGGCTATGCCTATTCTGGCGCAACAAACAAGCGAAACAGTAGAAGTTGAGCTACATACCAGAAACCGCTGTTTACAATAATTGTTCCAGAAGAAGTAGAAGACTCCCTTCGGCGTTCCGGTTAGGATGTTGAAAGTGAAGTTGTGGACGGCATCGAACGCGTAGTGCTCGTACTGCGATGTATGCGGATAACAGAAGTCAGATGAGAATGATACAAAGAGGATACTAATTAAGAGCGGCAGAAAAGTCCTCAGATTCGGCACAACGGGTAGAAATTGACGTCAACAACAAATCAGATGGAAATAATGCTGTAATTTGTAGGCGCAAAAAAGAAGGATTTGAATGAATTCAAAAAATAAAGATGCGCGCCATACCGTATGAGGCGTTCCTAATAAAGATTCCAGAAACAAGCCTATAAATCGACTGAAGGGTTTGGCGGCCACGACGTCCTCGGCGGCTTTGGCCACTAGAATTCGGCTGACCTCTGTTGACAAGTACACGAATGAGAAAACTAAATCAATTACAATTATGTGAATCTACAGCCGTAGGTAAGCCACGTGATGAATATGAAAGCAGCTCGCATAGGATAATCCGCAACTTGAGTAGACATATGTGCATATATGCATATATATATATATATATATATCTAAATATACGTATATATATAGATATAGATATAGATATATATATATATATATAATGTATATATAATGTATATATATATATATATATATATGTAGTATGATTATTATATACATATAAATATGTAATGTGATAATTATATACATATATACATATATACATACATACGTACATATATACGATATGCATATATACATACATATACGTAAGTGCGCATACACGATACACTCACAAACACACCATTCGGCCATTTCAGCGAGTGCAAGAACGGCATCCTGGGCAGGGCAATGTTCACGAGCGGTCCAACCATGCGGCACAACAGCGGGATCTTGGCATGGTAACCCCCAGGCGACATGACCACAAGCTTGTCTACGAAGTGGTTGCCATTGTGCATGCGCGCGTGCGTGACCCACATCAGTGCACACATCGCGCCCATACTGTGCGACACCACCGTCAACGTGCGCTTCTCGCCGTCTGCATCTCCCAACGCGGCCTTCTCGACCTCCTGGGTGTGGCGTATGGCCTCAAGCATGCTAGGCATGTCTATGAGTGCGTGGTGGTTGGGATTGAAGCTCCAGTACTCGGCCTGAGAGAGATTGTCCATGTGCTGCGGGTTGTCGTCTGTGCCGCGGAAGTTGCCCAGCCACACATCGTAGCCCTCGTCGTACAGGCGGTACGCTAACCCGCCCACGGTGCCCGACATGATGAAAGTAGCGGCGTTATCTGACACACCGTGCTGCAAGAACACAGACTTGGTCGCGCCGTATCTGGGGATGCGTTCCAGCTTCAGGATGTAGCCGTCATCCGTAATCACCTCGTACGTGACAAAGGGGTACCCGGCACCAATGACCATCTGCTCGTGTGTGCGCTTGTCCACACGTTTGATGTCAAACAGAGACTCGACCACCGAGCCCGTGGCAAGCGATGTGATGGCGGTGTGCATGCTTTCGCTCATATCGTTGTATACGTTGATGCAGACAGCCTTTACATAGTCCCGATTTAACACTTGGCCGGCGCCGTATTCCGCCACCTCGCGACTTGCGGTGTAGATGCGGCGGTTGACATTGCGACACACCGTGAAGGGGTAGTTTACGTTAGCTAAGGTGGATACCTGCAGTTTTGTGGGTGAATGAGAATCAGTGTGGTCAACATTCATACACTACACAGGGATTGATTGCCGATGACGCGAATATTATTACATAAGTAGTTATCCGAAGAAAGAGACGTATTCTAGGAAGGATACATAACAACAAGTGTCGGGTATCCTTCCTAGGATATACCTCTAATGTACAAGGCGTATCCGCAAGTTTGTATATGTACACGGCTTCCAAATAAGCAAATACCTGGCCAAACACAATGCATGAAAAGTATGCACTGGTGGTATAGAATTTAATATTTGTGTGGTTTTACTCCTATAGTGTAATGTCACATACGCAAACAAACGTGAAACTAGTCAGGCTTCCATGACAACTGATACACACGCCCATATTTACCGCACAAGCGCACTCTGAGAATACACCCCCAAACCGACACAACAATGCCAATATATACAAACCGCGACCGGCGAATCTAAACATAGTAGACGGGAAAAAAAACTATTGCGGTCATTATGGAACTGCACATGTCAGTCAATTAGCCACTACAACTTAAGACAAATCAAATTAAATATAAACGCTATACCTACCTGAAGATCTTCTAGTAATCCAGTAGTCACTTTCTCGTGCTTGTGTGCTCGGTCTAGGTTGCTTCTGTTTTTCTTCGTTCGCCATTGTGTCGGTGAATTGGGTGGTGAGGGGTACTGCTCAATTGCATTGGCTTCCACTACTTTGTCTTTGTAGTTAACGCCAGACATAGACCTACTTCGGAGGGCTTTGGAGTCTTGCCTTTGTACGGCCCGTTTGCCAAAGTCTTTGGCTGTATTACTCCTGGGCAGAACAGACGTGTCGTTTTTCGTGATCCGCTCGCTTTTGCGTTTATCTTCCCATACATTCTATATCACACATAAATATTGCATACAGAGGCGCGTTTTAGTTGAGAAATCTAGCAGCAGATATGTCTGACAAAAATGTGACTACGCTGAAGTATGCAATCATCTTTGCTAGCGAGTAGTCGGATGATCAAATGAGAACTACAGCTGACGCCCTATGTCGCAAAAATGAAGAAAAAAACGGACTACTGTATGTGTAGCCATGTGACTACAGTATGTTGCTGCGAATCGCCAAGTGTATTAACAAGAAAGCCACACCGCGAACAAATACTAATAAATACGCTCGAGAAGGGTGCGGTGAAGGGAAAGCACAGACTTACCTTCACATATGTATTACTCAGCCAGCGAGACATGGACGACTGGAGCACATGTGCCCCAGCATTCCAGACCTGAGAATACGAAAGAGAGTATTAAAAATAGGCTCAAAATAGCGAACCTCCAAGTTAGAATGCAATCTAGAAGCAGTTTCATTCTAGAAATAATGTACCTTCGCTTGTTTGAACGACCAACAATACACGATTCGTGAGTATGCCACAATTTAAGGATGCCCTATCTTTAATAGATCGGTTGAAGTGTTAATTTGAAAGTGCAACGTGCCATATGCGAGGAAGGGATGACAATACAGTCGAACAGGCATCCGTACAAATACGCGCCGCTAACTACCGTGAGTATAAAGAGTGCTCGCCATATCTGGCAATAGAAGTACTTCCAGGCTGCATGGTTAAGAAACTCTCATACATATCTAAATTCAGTACAGGGATGGTAGTAGTAGCTATACCACATCACCGAAACCAGTGCCCAGTTCGACTAAAGCCCTATTGCCAAATAAGCTAACACTTGCATCTCAACCCATTTAAGACTAACCTCAGCAATAGCCGTCTTGCTTGCGACATTGGCAATGATAAGGCCCTGGTCTATCGTTTGGTATGTGTAGTAGGACAAGGTGTCCATGTTCGTTTCCTTAGCGCTATGTGCAAATGCGTGTGCACACGGCATTCAGCCAAATGGGATGAGTATATATATGTGCGTGTATGTAAAGAAAAAGCTCGGCCTCTAAAAAGCCGATTTAATTTCACATTCTAATCTGCCACAGATGACAGGACTTGCAGAAGTTCCACACTGTTTTTGAGTGTGGAAGTTGGAACTGTGGATTGTGAAATAACTGCCCGCGAGAGTCTCATCTTGACTCGGGGGTTAAAGCCAAAAATAAAGCCAAAACGTTATATGATATACGTGTATTTTCTAAAAATAACCGTTGCGTTCAGTTTTATTTTTACAAACCAATAAGACGCCCCGAGAGATCATACAAACCGTTTAATGTATATAAAAAAGTATACCGAAATATTGGCTTATTTCAAAGAGACCCGTTGACGTTAAATAGCGCCAGCCGCGAGTGGGGCAACACATTTGTGATTCACTGATTTGTCTGTTGTCGTTTCAAGAGACGAGAATAGCTGAAAAGTGTGCAATGTTTGGGATGCAACTGGTTCTCAGTTCTCACGGGCATGCTAGGTCGCACGTCGCACAATCGGCTGACTTGGGTTTCGAGATGTTTTCTGGAAATGAGCCTGTTTTTGTTTTTTTTATAAAAGCACGAAAATAGGTATGAAAAAAAAAAGCCTTTCGAAAACGCAAGATCATTCCTTTTTTTTTTTGGCGGCCGCACGCAAATCGACAATCAGATATCTATATTAAAACAAATACAAATGATAATTAAAAAAATACAAAAATGAAGGTTCAGGCCGAAAGCCTTTCGGGAGATAGTATATAACACTCGACATGCACTCAAAAGCTACAATTACAAGTCGTTCTGTATGCGTAGAGGTGTGAGTTGAATGTCAGGATTAGATACATCATGTCACGCACTTGTAGAAGTCCGGTGAGTTTTATGCATCTGTCGATATGCCTTCTCTGTATATGTTTCAGTCTGTGTAATGCGGAAATACTTAAGAGCCAGAACAGCGTAGCTCAGAGCAACACTAAATCCAATCCCAAAGTCGACAATCTTAGTAACAATAACAACAACATGAATAACAATATTAATAATAACGAACAAGAAAGCGATGCTATAGCATCTATACACTCACAGATAGATGTCGATAATGATGGGGTAGTAAATCTACGTGAATCGGCAGGGTTCCTACAATCCCTGATAGAGAATGATCGCGAACGGAAGCGCAAAGACAAGGCTTTCCATCTATTTGACTCAGACCAGGACGACGATGACTTCGTATCTGTGGGTGAATTACAAGCCGCTTGGTTGGTGAGTGCAGTACGTTCTTGGACAGTGGAAGATGTGGTATCCTGGGTGGCATCTAAGCCGGATTTGGCTGCATATGCGCCTGCGTTACTGGAGAAGGGTGTGAGTGGAAAACTACTGCCTGTGGTGGCCATGGGAAAAGGGAAAATGCTGCAGAAATGGGGATTTTCGGCGAAAGAGGCGGAGAAGTTGTCGCAGGCGATTATACTGGAAACTATGTTTCCCTCTACTCCGACATGGCAGGTGAAAGACGCAGTGCTGGGTGTGTGTATCCTGTTGCTGGTACTATCGGGTACAGGCTTGTGGTTCACATCAAAGGGGACCAAAGAATTGGATACGCAATTGCAGAAGATGAAAGAGGAGCTCGAGAACGCTACATTTCAGTTAGAGAAGGAGTCGAAAAATCACGAGTTTGTACGAGGCGACGACGGCGGCACAGGGCCTGGGAGTCTTATGAATAGCGACGATGACCTATCATCAACAGCTGTGCATTTTCCGAATAGCAACAGAAATTCGCCAACGATACGAAATTTCAGTCATACTCAGTTAAACGATCTTGAAAGGTGTGTCATTATTCGTGTCTGTTCAATTAGCTATATATATATATATATGTGTGTGTGTGTGTATGTGTGTGTGTGCGTGTGTATATATAAATGTATATATATCATTATTCATGTCTGTTTAGTTAGCTGTATACATAA